TAAATATTAAATGAGTATCATAATTAAATGTTTAAAATAATCTTTATATAGTATATTAAATAACTAATTAAGTATCATAATTAAAAAATTAAAAATTAGAATAATTTTTATATGTTTATATTAAATTAAAATAAATATAAAAATATTTTAAATGTGTTTTTGTATTCTGTCATGAGTAAAACGTGCATCCGTGTAACACATTTTATTTAAAGTTATTTTTGTATTGTGTCACGCGTTAAGCATGTATCCATTTGACACATTTTTTTAAATTTTTTTTCGTATCTTACATGTGCTTAGACGTGTCAACATGTATAAAATATGAAATATATTATGTTAAAATTTGTATCAATAAAAATAAATATGAAATACACTTTTTTAAAATACATATATGATTTTTTTCGTATTATATTTGAAATTATTAAGTCTAACTGTGGATAAAAGAACTTTCACTGGAAGAGGCAATGTCCAGTGTGAAAATGGGTTCCAGTGTGAATTTTTTGTAACAATCACACCGCAGTTTGTTACCCAAACATTTTACAGCCCAAAAAACCATGATAATCGTGCTGAAACGTGGCTCCAGTGCACATCTAAATCCAACCTCAGTCCCTTTAAAATCTAGAGCAATTAAAAGTCCCACTCATGTCCTTTCATATGTTGAATCCCAAGCCATCCCCGCTTGCCCTAGTGGCTAAGGAAAGCTTAAAAGAGACATAAAGGTTCGATTTTGAGTCACCCTCTTCCCCACCTTTTGTACTAAAAAAAAAAAATCTCAAACCTATCATTTGAGCTTTTAGTAAACATTTTTGTTAACGAGTTAGAAGGGTTTTTTAAAATGTTTATTTGTTTAATACTAATAGGCTGTATTTGATATATAAAATTATAATAAGATAATATAAAATGATATTATAATTAGTATTAAATTAAATAATATTATATTATCTTTATTTGATATATATAAGAATTAGGATAAGATAATTTATTTATTGATCAAAATTATTTTTTTTTCAAATTTTATATAATTTAATTTATTGATATAGTTTTAATGGTATAATAGGATATATAAGTTCAATAATTAAAAATAATCCTCTTCACTTTGAGAGGATTGAATCATCTTATGCTAAGAAGATGATTAATTCTCTTTATAATCCTATCATTTTCTTTAAATATAAACTAAATATAGTACAAGATGATTATTATTCTATACTATCCATTATCTTATGCATTAAATATGATCTAAAGTCATATTTGATACATAAAATTATGATAGGATAGTATAAGATGATGTCATGAATAGAATTAAATTAAATAATGCCATCCTATCTTATATTTGATTTGTGTAAGGATTAAGATAAGATAATTTATTTATTGGTCAAAATTATCTTTTCTCAAAGTTTATAAATTTTAAATTATTGATGTAATTTTTAAAAGTATAATAAGACATGTAAGTTTAATTTTATGGATTAAAATAATTATCTTCGTTTTGGGAGGAGTGAATCATTCTATACCATATATGATGTGTGCAAATATTAGGATAGGATATTTTATTTATTGATCAAAATTATACTTCTTAAAATTTATACAATTTAAATTATTGATGTAATTTTTAAGGGTATAATATGACATGTAAGTTTAATTTCATAGATTTAAAAATAATTATCTTCACTTTGAGATGATTGAATCAAATTATATCAAGAGGATAATCAATCTTCCTTACAATTCTATCACTTTCTTTAGATATAAACCAAACATAATATATAACGATTATTATTCTATCCTATTCATAATCTTATACACCAAACATTACCTTTATTATTATTATTTTTTTAGATTTTTTGTTAGCTTGAAATTAAACTTCTTAGTTCTTCATCTATATGCTTAGGGTTGAATTATAGTTTTGTTGGCGATTATTTTCTAGGTTAGGAGAGCAAGAATTGGGTATTTGCCTTTAATTACATCAAGTGATATGTAAAATGGTGATCCTCCACAACATAGGTTAAGGCCTAGTAGGAGTGTAAAGTTTTTGGCTCCACCAACCAATAACACAAAAACCACATGCTCTAATAATTTCACTGCTGCTTCATTGTCATACTCTTACTCTCTGTCGTTTTCTCATAATCCTGGCCGCTCGTTAACACAAAATTCCACCGATAATTATGAGTATTGTATTGGGAAAGATGATCAAATTTGGTGTGGTTGTGCGGTACTAATGGATCAGTATATAGTCGGTTTAGGCCAATTGGTGATAGAGTTGCTTTGGCCTATCATGGTGGTGCTACTTGTGGTTGGTGGGCTTTCCATGATGCAAGTTAATCATTAAGTGAATAAGGATTCATGCAATAGTCTTTATAGAACTACTAGTTCATATCGTTCTGGGGATTCAGTGTATTTGAGAGTTTTGGAGAGTATGGGGGAGGGAGATCCTGAAAGATTTCTAGTGTTGGAAAGTATAATGTTTATCTGTTTCAATTCTTAAAAAAAGCTTTGGATCATGCTATCGAATTTATGGCTCTAGCCAGGCAAGTTAGAAAAGTTCCCATTATGTCCACCATCAGCATACAGTGGAAACCTCTAGAACAGGGATAGCTCAAGCTAAACACTAATGGTTCCTCGATGGGAAACCCAGGCAAAGCAGGAGCAGGAGCAGGAGCAGGAGCAGGAGCTATTCTTAGGAATTACGAAAACGAATTGATTAAGGGAGTTTTCAGACACATTCCTAAAGCAAAAAGTGTTGAAGCGGAACTATAGCCTTTACGGGATGGCCTAAATATGGCAAAGAATGAGGGAATTAGGAACTTCGATATTGAGATGGATGCTTCCATTGTGATAAGCTTAATTTCCAATACGAAAACTATCAACTATAGCCTTAACACCCTTATTTCTGATTGCAGGAATCTGTTAAAGGCATTTCAACAGACAATAATGAAGCATATTTACTGTGAAGGAAACCAGTGTGCTGACGCAATGGCAAGATATGGCAGCGAGAAATTTAACTTTAGTTCCAGAGCCTTGTATGGTTGACTCTTCTGTCATTTGTTCAATGATGCTCCTGCTTTTATTGCCCTAATTCTTCTAGATGAGAATTATGGGCTAACCGTACTATGGTTTAATTAATGCTTTTTAAAAAAGTTTTACTTTTTTAAATATAAATGATTATTTAAAAAATCACATGGCATTGACTGTCATAAAATACCTTATATGAGTAAATAAATTTAAATCTACTTTGTTAAAAAAATTTTTTAAGTACCCTTCTACAAGAAAAAACCTTTTTGTTAGCTTTAGGTGAAGTTGTTGGCTTTAACTCTCGGTAATATATTGTTTATTATCATTGCATTATAATTCATGAATTATAATTTAAATTATATGTGCAATAAAAATCTATTTACATTAAGATAAATGTTACATATTTTTTTATTTTTGGATCAAAATTAAATGTATAACACATACTCTTAATGTTTTTTATTTAAAAAATCTAAAAAATATATAAAATTTACGCTAATGTAAATAGATCCCTCGTTATATGTGACTCATTAAAATTTTATATAATCTATATTTATAAAAGGTAAACTCTTGCATAATTTTTTATTATGATTAAATAATTATAAAATTATAAATGAAATACACCTTCATCGACAAAAAACTATTAGCAAGCTAAAAAATATAAATACAAAACAAATAAAGTTAAAAGATTAATCGAATTGAAAAGTATTTTGAAATCAATCAAGGTAACTTAATTTTATAATAACGTAGATACTAAAATATATATTTTAAATTTTAATTTAATATTTAAAATAATTAAAGTCAAATTTAAAAATTTGACTAACAAGATTAAACTTAGACAACATTTATAAATTATTACCTTAAATTTAATTTTTTTTCTAGAATTTTAGATTATTTTGAAAAATACACAATATAAACAAGTAAGTATACAATAATACAAATAGCTAAAAGGTACACCTTAAAAAAAATAACTCTAAAATTTAAATTATATTAAAATAATCCTAAAAAGTGACTAAACTAAAAACCTGCCACTTCATTATTTTTTTAAAAAATATTGAATAATATTATAAACTACTAACACTAAATTAACTCTAATAATTAATATTCCTAACCCTAATTAAAAAAAATAATAGAAGGCTATCCGTTGGTTTGGCCCTAAAATTGATTCTTTCATTATCGATGCAAATGAATTATCCATCAATTTTTGTTTATAGTTATGTTCTCTCTTTTAGGGTTTTGTTTTCTGATTTTTTTTATTCATTTTTTTACTTGATCAATCTTAATTTTGTGAGTTATTTCTGATTCTAATTAAAATTTTTTATTTGGTTTTTTTTTTTTTACAAAAGAAGAATAATTTTTATTGAGTTTACATGGTTATATATCCATTGTAACGTAAATTAATATCTAAAACTTATTTTATTTTTTTTGTTTGATCAAAGAGTAATAGATTATGTTAAAGGTATTTTATGATCATAAAGACATTATGAATTTTCTCTAAAGTGATTCATTAATAAAGTAAAGTTAATTTTATTATTTCAATTCAAGTTGACACACTCGACCTTTCAATTGAAAGCACATAAAATTGCCAATATGTTATCTATTGATTTGAATGGTATAATTAGCATATTTTTGAAAATAATGGGGTAATATGTTTTTAATGGATATACAATCATTTTAATATAATTTAAACCCATAATTATAATCACGTTTACCAAAAATGTATATTTAAATATACAAAATAAAGTTAAAATAGTTAAAATAGTATATGTAACTTGGCATTCAGTTAAATATAAAAAGAATTGGTAATGAATTATCAAATAAAAAAAATGTTAATAAAAATAGATTTTATAAAGAGAAATTAACTTGCTACGAGTAGCTACCGGTGTTAACTGGAAGCCGTGAGTTAACGTGGCTTTTTGAGAGAGCGAATGCTAAAAGCGACTGTTAAAAGGTGACTGCCACTAGTATACGGGTTTTTTTTTTTTTTTTTATTTGAACATATACAAAACAAACCTAACCCTAAAATCTTTATTTCCCAATCTTTTTTCTCCACTCTTCCTTGTTCTTCTTTCCACTGCGAAAATGTCTCACTTCGGAAGGTCAGGCCCTCCCGACATCACCGACACCTACTCTCTTCTCGTTCTCAATATCACCTTTCGTAAGCTTCTCTCTCTCGCGACCGCTTTTTAACTTCCCTTCGGCTACGAGTTTGTTTGTACTGTAACTAAAACCTTTGATTTTGGTTTTGAATTGTTTAGGCACGACTGCTGATGATTTATTTCCGCTTTTCGACAAGTACGGGAAGGTCGTCGACATCTTCATTCCCAAAGATCGAAGGTTCTTCTATCTCTCTCTCTATAATTTTTTTAATTGTTGTTTGGTTGTTTAGAACTTTTAAGATAATAATTTTTATTTATCATGGTAGGACTGGTGATTCTCGAGGTTTTGCATTCGTGCGCTACAAGTATGCAGATGAGGCACAGAAAGCTGTTGAGAGGCTCGATGGTAATCCTTCTTCAACTATTTTTTTTCAATTATGCGAGCGCTTTTTTATGCATGGATTGCTTTATTGTATTAATTTTGTGGGTAACTAATTGCGATATATAATGGCATATTCCTTCTTCTTGTAGGTAGAGTTGTCGATGGTCGGGAGATAACAGTTCAGTTTGCAAAATACGGGCCTAATGCAGAGAAGATGTAAGTTTCTGTGCTAGTCGTGATTCAGTTATTGAACAATTGCTTTTACATTTGAACAGATTTGGAGCTGAATGAAGAGAAGATGATGTTGTGTAGTAAATTGTTTTATGAAAATATGGTTTTGATTCTTGGTGAATTTGCTCTTTTATTGGATCACTGTCAAAGTTCAGTTAGGACATAATGCTTTCCCATAAAGTATTATGAAGGAAAACATATGTCTGGCTTCAACACGGGAAATGTCCACTATAAGTAATTTGTAATAATGATTAACTAATTAGTTTTTTATTGAAACTTTTAAAGGCTTGTTTGGCTTGCTTACTTAAATGTTGAGGTGCAAGCTATGGGTTTTTTTGTCTTTATATCTCCTTATCCTCATAACATTTTATATTCGTAGTATTTTTTGTCTTAAGGTCTCTATTGTTGTACTGAGTTACATGTACGTTACCAATTTCTTTTATAGTCAGAAGGGAAGAATCATTGAATCATTTCCAAGGTCAAGACACAGGTCAAGAAGTCGCAGCCCTTATAGAAGGTAAGTAATTTTACCCACTCTTTACCTGCTTAGAAGACGTCTGTTTTTATTTCACTTTTGTACTGTATGTTGCATTTTCTCTTTTGTCTTGTGCCCACTTTTCTGAATGGATTATGAGAAATATTGATGAAGGGATAAGTGTGAGGAATTTTCCTGTTTATTATTCTTTTCCTTACCAACCGAAGCCTTTTTGATTATCGATAGTATGAAACGATGGCGCTAGGTGTTGGTATTTGTAAACTAATTCATTGACTCAATGTTTTTTTGCCTGTTCGCGCATTGTATGTCTGGATAAACTGATTGTGGTTTATTGCCCATTTTTACATCTTGACAATTCTAAATTAGCTTTCATTTATCTGATTTTATTCATCGTGGGGAAATCTGCTGCCTTGGTGCTTGTGTGATGCTTGTTAAGCTTGTTTGAATAGCCAAACATATATGGATTAATTGTATTTCTTTGTGGTCTTATTTGTGGTCATCCAATGTTCATTGTGTTTAATATCTTCAGGCACCGGGATGACCATTACAAAGATAGGGATTATAGGAGAAGAAGTCGCAGTAGGAGTTATGACAGATATGAACGTGATCGATATCGTGGGAAAGACAAAGACTATCGACGCCGAAGCAGGAGCCATAGTGCTAGTCCTGACTATTCAAGAGGCCGAGGAAGAGGTCGCTATGATGATGATCGGCGGAGTGTCAGTCGATCAATGAGGTTTATACGTCATACTTTGCGATTTAGGAAGTTCAGTTTCTCTTATTTTTCCTTTTTTTAAGCTATTTCATTGTGATACGTTTGTATTTTAGTGCTTCTCCTGCTCGCCGCAGCCCTAGTCCTCGGAAAAGTACTTCCCCACGCAAGGCATCTCTCCCTAGGGGTGAAAGTCCTGATAGACGTGTCCGTGATGGACGGTCTCCAAGTCCTCGAAGTGTTTCACCACGAGGCCGTCCTGCTGGTTCTCGGAGCCCATCTCCTCGAAACTCAGATGTTGATGTGAGTTTTTTGACTCTCATTTACCCCCCATCTTTTTCAATCTTTGTTTTTTGGGTAAATTTACCCCTGCAATTTGTGATTCTAGCATTTAACTGTTTACTTTTGCATTTTTATTTTGTAGGAATGATCTTGCGGATGGCATGGGAATTGCTGGAGTCTTTAAGTAGTGTGTTTCTTGTTGCTATGTTGCTAGTGTTGAGGACATTCAAATATTATGCTTCTTCTAGTATTGGTAGGACTGGGTTTTTTTGGTTTCTTAATTGACTGTCCTGAACCTTGTCTCCATTACTTAAGCTGTGTCATGGTGTCTGAACTTATGTGGTCTGTAGCTTGATGTTTCAGTACCTGCCAAGATTTTGTGATGTGAGTTTGTTATTGTAGCTTGCTACTCCTTCTCCCTTTAGATCTTATATTTGGCTCTGATTTTGCTTGTTTGTTGCCGTAATATATTTCATGGGGCCAATTTAGTGAAATGTTTCTTTTTAAAATTTTTTTCTATTGTATTTTCTAAGAATGCTGATTCATCTCAAACCATCTGTTGGGTTTTATAGCAATGTTCGGGGAAAGTGTGCCTTGGGCAAATGGACATGATGTGACATGATGTTGATGTTGTGGCTGTTGATGCTGTTTATATCTGTAGATGAATGATCGTGATTGTGATGCTGGTTATAGCAGTATGCTGATTGCAGGGACAGTTTGTTAACTATTTTTAACTGAAACATATGATGATTGGTAAGATCAGTAGTCAAGTATTGGTTTCTGGAAAGCCTTGCATCAGTCAGGTTTCTGATGTTTCCATCTGATTATCCTCTGGTCTGCTGATTTCTAAATATTGGCACTGAGGTTTAGTTGCTGTGATGGTATAAAAGGACCCAAGATGAATTTCTTGAACTGTGGAATGCAGCATGTGATGGACCTGTGATGCATTAGACCTGATGCAGATACTAAAATTAAAAATGTAATGTCTTGGTCTGAAACTTGCGACTGCATTAATTGAACAGAATAACTTGTTTCTGTTTAATTGTTTCATTGGTGTATTCCATTAATCATGTTTAACCACACCCTATTGCTTAATGTTTTGAGTTGTAGCAAAATTGCCCGTGAGCTAGCTGTGAAGTGGTGGTTGTGCCAATTCTGTTGTGAGATACACTTAGCTTGTCGGTAACCATTGAGTATCAATGAATGACATGTAGCAGGCTGTTGCTGCCTTTCTTGTTGGGTCACGATGATAATGGTTCTTGCAGTTGCCTGGCTTTCTTGCTGGTCTGCTTGTAACTGGCTGTTGCTGCGCTTCCTGCAGGGTTGTGTCAGTTTTGGTACTAGCAGTGTTGGTATGCATCCAATATGCCACCCCTGTTCACATGTTAGGGTTACATTTAACTATCAGTCTTTTTCTTTTATTTGTTCTGAAAGATCTTTGCAACTGTTATACTCATGACATTGTGATCTCGAACAGATCACTTATCTTTCATTCTTAATGTCATTTTATTAATAGGGGCTTTCATGCATTTACTTGGACTCCTAGCTAGCTGAGGTGCTTATAGAGTGAAAGCACAGAAAAATTTAGGGATGCTCTATGGTGGTTAAACATGTTAAAAGAAACGAATAAAGGGAGGACTGCAGTTGCAGTTTTGAGCTGAAACCTCAAGCTATACGTTAAATGGTGTTGCTTTCTTTGATCTTATTGCATGTCTGATCCACAAAATTCTGTTAATAGGGAAATTCACTGCCCACTTTTTTTTTTTTTGTATTTTGCCTTAATGGCTTTTCCATTTGTTTTCTGATAACTTTTAGATGAACCCTCGATGCTGTGACCCTACTGAATTTGCTTTTGTTGGCACTATGTTGATTTGGCTTTGTAGTTTTGAAGTGCTTAATTAGCGTTGAATTTGCGTTCTGTTGTTCTTTTATAGCTCTGATGATTCTGGCTCATAACCAGACACTGTGATGCTTGTGTGTGTTTTGTTTCTTCCAATGACTTGAACGGTTAATGGAGTTTGTTACTTTGTTTCAAGAGGGTACTTTGTAGTGACGCGTTGGTTGACTCTCATTAGTTTAAGCGTTAAATTACAATTCCTTTTTTTTTTTTTTTGTAATTGTAGTTTCTTGAGGGCTTATGTTAAATATTTCTTGTCAGTGGGCGGGGGGGGGGGGGGTGGTTGGGCAAACCAGCACCATGTTTCGTTTTTAGTTAATGGTTCAACTTTACTTGTGACATTACATGAAACAGATTAGTGGAATTAGAATTAATCCAAAAGTCAGTTTCTGGTAAAATCTTGGAAGGCAGATCTAGCGTTCATGCCGCCGCTGGTAACGACTTGGTCGAAATCTTCAAATTAAGTTATAATTGATTCGTTAATTTGAGAGCAATTGTCCAGAAAGAAATGAGTTGCATGTGTTGCACGTGTAGTGAACATTAATACGAATTTATGAAATCCTTCTGGTGTACTTAGTGCTCGTAGCTACATTTTAACCTGTCCTTCCAACGAACTTTTAGCTTTGCAGTTGAAAGGAAAAAACTGGTACTGGTGATAGAAATTGAAGTGCAAAGTAGATATCTGAAAATAACATTTTTACCTGCGTGGCCCGAAACTTAAAAAAGTTGCCTACGTTCATGATTCATGACTTCAGTACATAACCACACATCGCTAGTGGTGATGTGCCGTCGGGTGCTTCTTTAACAAAAACAGTAACACCACCCCGTTTTCCGGCTGGCTATAGCTTGGGCTTTTCGGAATCATAATTCAATTTCATCTCTAAAGTCTGCCAAATACAAGTACCTGTTGTCCAAGAAGACCAAGACTAGACTGAGGAAATGGACAAACATCCTTTCCAGCTTACAGCAAAAATTTAGTAATATTTGTCATACCAAATTTTCATACAAAATTGTTGAAGAAACCTATGTTTGCTTTCTACTTTCATTAGTACAAAATATATTGTTTTAATCTGACTCGAAAATATGTTGAAAGCTGCTACAGAAAACACCTAAATTCTCCAAGAAGCTATTACAAGATCCAACCATATCAACGGTCCATAAAGCCCCTCAGTCCAAATCCATGTCATTTTCCTTTTCGATGTTACCGGCAGTCCACAGCTTTATAGTTCGATCATGAGAGACGGTCACTATATATCGGCCATCTGCCATGAAAAAAAATGTTCAGTGTACTTAAACAGAATAGTTATATTACTATTTGCTTGATACATGATAGGCAGGATAGAAAAATGGAAAGATGTAAAGATTTTTAATGCTAATGACTATGCAAAAAAAAAAAAAAAAAAGGCAAGAGGCTGTATAACTTGACCACTACGCTTTCCATCACACGAAGCTAAGAAATCATTACTCATTAAAGGCATAGCTAAGAAAATTGACGATCCCAGCCCCCTTTTCCACCCTTGAAACCAGCTGTTACCTTTTTTAGAGGGAAAAAAAAAAAAAGAAAAGAAAAGAAAACCGACTGATGGTCAGGGTCTTTTATTATTGATGTTTGATACCACCTCTCGAAACAAAGGGAATGAGCTTTAACCGTCCCCCTTTCCCACCCCTCCACCCCCAGTGCAGTTTCTTCTACTAAGTTCTGACTCCTGATAGGACAGAGGAATAGCAGAAAAGAGAAGAGACACAAAAGGTAAACAAAAGAATGGAGTCACAAAAACTTCAACTGCAGCACTGCTAACATACAGTCACAGTTGCTCCACTATCCATTATACCTAAAGGATCTTAAATCTAATTAATACCAAAATACATGGTAAGGTATCAAAAATACTTTAATCCAATGCTCGCTGATTGCATAGTAGAAGTTCTGATGAAGGGAAGGACGGTAAAAGCTAACACTAAACAATGAAACATTCCAAGAAGAGAGGAAAAAAAAGAAAGGGATAGAAAGGAGAGATACAAGCTTTACTTATTTAAAGTTCAGAAAGTTACCTTCACTAATATCTGAAGCAGTGACTTTAGCTTCATGACCCGGTAAGCTTTTGACAGGCTTAAAATCTCTGCCAGACCAAACCTGGTAAATCATATACAAAGATTAGATGATAGATTAAAATTTTTACTTCAAATATAAAGGCATTTGTGTTCAGAAAGGAGGTGTACCTTTGCAGTCATGTCATAAGAAGCAGTGACCAAATAATATCCCTCTTGAGGCTCAAACTTCACTTGTGATATAAGATTTGAGTGGGCTGGTATGATATACAGGGACTTTTTCTTCCTCAAATCCCATATCCGACAAGTATTATCTTCACCACCTGTGGCTAAATGATACCCATTGGGTGAAAAACTAACACCTAGAATCTGGAAAGAGTGGCAGAGATTTGCAGGTTTTTAGTTATCAAATATCTATTCAGGTAATAGAATTTTTTTTTTTTTTTGCTGCTCCTAAAAACTTCAATAGAATTATCTTAAGATATTAACAAGGCAATGCAATTCAACACTATACTATCTACTTGCCTAACTAAGCCTTAAAACTTCAAAATAATTGTAGCACCATTGCCTCCCAGTTTCAATAGAATCTGGTGGAAGATCTAAAAGACTTCCTTTTGAAGCATTGAGGCCTTGTGTGTTAAAATCAAAACTATAATTTTCCATGAATAACAAATCTCAAACCTGTAAAGCATCCATATGAAATTTATAGTAGTTAACAAGTATTTATCAGGTTCTTTAGTGTACTGCTGCTAGTAGAGATGCACCACAATATGTTCCTCCTACATGTAACATTTGGCAACCATGACAGTTACAAAAAGTAAAGAACCACATAACCATAAAGTCTTACAGGCTTGACATGGCCTTCCAAGGCAAGAATACTTCTCCCAGTGCGAAGATCCCAAACACGAGCAAGTGCATCAAGTCCACAGGATGCTGCTAAAGATCCATCTTGATGGAAGGCAATTCCATAGACGCTCCTACTATGACCTTCTTGGAGAAGCAACTCCACACCACTGTCTATGTCCCACAGTCTCCATGTTTTATCAAAGCTAGTTGTACCAAGGTACTTCCCTGAAGGATGGAAGGCAATACGTGCAAGGCGGTCCAAATGGCCCTCAAATGTTTTCAGGAGAGATCCATCAGTGTTCCACAACTTTGCTGTTCGGTCAGCAGAAGCAGTTGCTAAATGATCATGCACAGGAGAAAATGTAACATCAGTTGCACGTTCTGTGTGGCCCTTTAAGGCAGAAACCTTACTTACCCTAGGCATTGACCACAACTTAGCAACTCCACTCAAAGAGCTGCAAAAGAAAAAAAATCTAGTTACAGTCCTGTATTCTTGTCATCTTTACTGGTTTCAAAGCCATATTTTATAAGCACCCTAAGAGGACCAAATTTAGCACTATGAACAACTGCAAATTTTTGTCTAACTTTAAACTTGTGTCCATTCCTTTTAACCATGGAAAAGACAAATTTGTTAAGCATAGTCAAAAACCAAATCCATAAAGACTAAGCTTTTTTGTTTAATGGAGTGGCAAATTAAGAGTCAGAAGCACACCAGGTGGCAAGAAGTTTTCCATCACGTGAGAAAGAACAACCTGAAAGTGGTCTATCATCTCCAATTTCACTGCAATCAAGAACCAAATTCCCTGCCTGCTTTAGTACCCAATCAATTTCAGCATCCATATCTTCATCTGGATCATCCCTTTTTCTCCGTGCACATTGAACACGCACAGTTGCCTTTAAAACAGAGTACTTTGCAATATCAATTCTAGCATCCAAAAGCTCTTTTGGACCTTCAGTATAAAAGGGATATTCGATGTCTTCCTCAATGTCCTCCACCTTAGCAGAAACTGCAGCCTCTTCCTCCTCATGAGCTTTCATCAACTTCTCCAATTGCCCCTCAGAATCCAGCTTCGCCATAATCATCCGCAGCCTATCCCGCCTTTCCATCTCTCTTTCTCCAAAAAGAGTTATGGGTTCACCAAGCCGGCGAAGTCGAGCCCGCACAGCCATGTCATTAGTAGGCACAGCTAGTGCAGCAGCACGTCGTTTCATCAGAAGTTCTTGCATTGCCTTTTCTTGCCGCTCTCTAACTAGTCTGCTCTCTTCTGAGATCTCATATTCACCAACAGTAGCTCGCCCATCATTGTCATAGTCAGAGTCTGAATCACTAGTTTTCACCTCACCATTTTGAGGCACAGGTGGTTTAAGGACCGGAGGGCGAACTGGGAGAGGAGCCAATGGGTTGACAACCAGGGGTGGAGGAATTGCAGGTATTGGAGCAATAGGTGGTACAACTGCAAGTGGGACCACTTGCGGAACAATAGGCTGAACAGGCTGAATTGGAGTGTTATTAGCTGTAGGCACTGCGGTTTGGCCATCAGGAACTGCAACTGAAGGTTCTGCAGCTGAAGTTGAAGGCTTGTTGTCATCATCAACTTCCATTGTACGTACCCAAGTGAAGCTGAAAATTAATAAACTTTAAACAGTAAAAAGGAAAAAGTTTTCTGCAGCTATCCACAGCCAAAAAAGAAAGGCAAAGAAGCACCATTTAAACCAATATAAAAGTTGTGAGTAATTCGAATCTAAACTACTTACACTAAAAACATACCTCAAAAAACTGTATCTATTAGGCCTTGAAAGTTGAAGATTTGATCGTTTAGAGACCGGGATTTTCAGTTATAATGAAAAGGGTATCTTTATTCGAACTCTGCTCCTTACTGAAAACCAAGCATATGACAATTTTATGGGTAAGACAAATCAACAAACAGAAGGTGTACGAAAATGTATCCATAAAAAACCTTCAAAAAAGGATTAAAATTGTTTTGCAGCAAAGAGATATCAAGGAAAAATGTAAACGAAGATTAAAATATTAGTTTAGACATAATCATCAACTGGAAATCATTGGGTTCCAATACAGATAAAACAAATTAAGCAGAAGTTAAGAAGCAGTCAACAAATCAAAATTTAAACCCTTTAAACAGCAGTTAATTGGTTACTAATGTCTAATAACAACTTACAACGTTATTGCATACCTTGAAAAAAAAAAAAAGCGCAGGAAATCGGGAAGTACTAGGGGTGGCGAAGGAAGGGGAAAGGAGGACAAGTGGCAAAGGGTGAATGTGAAAGAAATTTAAGAAAATTGTGAGGCTCAAAATGCAAAAGGAGTGAAGTGAGAGGGAAGAAGACAAAATAACAAAAAGACGAACGTTGCCGTTTGTACTACTATTTAATTTATTTAATATAAAAATAAATAATTTTAATATTAGCATAGAAATATAAATAATTTATTAATGTAAAAATATTTTTATATAATTATTAAAAGTCAATATCACCCTAGTTAAGCATGATAATTTTAAACATAATATAATAACAAGATACGAAAATAATATAAAAAAATTATGTATGAATTTTTAAAAATATATATAATATTTATTTATGTCAATACGAATTTCAATATGATACTATTCATGTTTCATACGTATTGACTCAATTAAACATGTGTAAGACATAAAAAAATACGTTTTAATAAAATATATCATATAGATATACATTTAACACATGATATGAACAACAAATTTAATTAAATTGTCATATGAGTATATATTTAATATATTTTTATATTTATTTTAATTTACTATAAATATATAAAAATTATTTTAATTTTTAATTATGATAGCTAATTACTCATTCTAACCATAAAAAAATTATTTTAAGTATGTCAGTATGATACTTATTTAATAATTAATATAAATTAATTTTATATTAATGATATATATACAATAAAATAATAATATTAGTGTGATATGTTATTATTTAGTAATTTATTTTTTAATTTTTAATTTCTCATATTTTGAATTTGTTGGTGTTAAAAATAAATATAATTATGTATATGTTAAGGGCATTTGATGGTTAAAAGGGTATAATGATTTTTTTCTCTCTCAAAGCCTTAAATAAACAATCATGGATATCTTTGTTATTTGTGCCTGACATGGTTAGTGTTACCTCAGTTCGACCTTGTCCTAATTGTCCCTTTATGGTCTCTTTAAGTTTATCTATAAATATGAAAACTCAGGCATCATAAAAGAAAGTTCATCTCATTTACTTCTCTCTCTCTTTCCTATTTTCTTACATTTTTCCTAACTTGATCTTTATTGACTTGCTCATCGAAGTGCAAACGCATGAAACACCCTCTGTATTTACCTCTAACCATCTTTTTCTTTTGTATTTACAGGAATATCCTCAGGTCGGAGCTTGGCACCAACATTTAACGTGCCAAGTAAGGAAACATTTCATGTTAGCCAAGCACAAAACAATGTTAATAAGAAAAAAAAATCCAAAAGGAAGGAAAGGCAATTGCCTGGGCTAAAACAGAAGCTCACCTTTACCTGCATTTTGTCCACCCTGCTCAACCACAGGCTGGACCAATCATAGTATAATTTCAAGCCTTTATAGAACAAATACAAGCTCTCAAGTAGATGCTGCAAATTATAATCTTACCATAAGTTTCAAAAGTGCTAGGCTTAATCATAACTAGCTGAGAAACCACTGTCGGACAATCGAACTACAAAAAAACGAAAGCTCTTTAGCCTCAAGGGAAGAAAAACACACAAACCCAACTCATCACTGCTCTAGCCACAATTTCACACATGCTACAACCTAAAAATCCAAACAAACAAACCATGAATTCCAACCGAACATAGATTTGGAAGTTCGGATGAAAGCCATGGAAAAAGAGCTGCAAATGAAGGCAGTGGCATTTGATGATGAGCTCAAGTTCTTGAAAACCTCACCTTTTACTGAAGAAATTGACAGAACCATGCCTCCCAAAGGATTTAAAATGCCAACCTTAGAGACATATGACGGTACTTTTGACTTCTTTGATCATTTGAAACTTTATAGAACTAACATAATGATATAGGAGGCAGACGAGACTCTAATATGCAAAGATCTAACCACTACGTTGAAAGATGCAACTCGATCTTGGTACAACAGTCTAGAGCTGAGGTTAATTACTATATTCATGGAGCTCAGTCACTCGTTCTCGTCCAAATTTCTGAATAGCCGAAAAGCTAAGAAAATGACCTTGAGTTTAATGTCAATTCACCAAGGGTGGAATGAAACTTTGAAAAGCTATGTCACGCATTTTAAACCAGAAGCTCTACAAGTTAAAGATCTAGGATAGATAGTCACTGTTATGGCACTAATTAGTGGATTTAATGATAATGAGTACCATTTAAAGCTGACATTGTTGCTAGAATCGGGCAAAACTCTAGCCGACATCATGTTAATAGTAGAAAAATACATTAATGTTGAAGCTACAATGAAAACAAACTTAGGTGAGAGAGGCTCATCCCCCACATCAATAATTAAAATGAGAAGCCTTATCCTCCTTTCAATCATAAAAAAAGTAAGAAATTCTATGATTCTCTCCCAAAAAAGAGACAACATAGGGTTAGAAGCCCTAATGAAAAAAGAAGCTACACTGTATTAAATACTTTCTGTGAGAGGATTCTGATACAAATTAAAAGAAATCTCGATCTCAAATGGCCTAAGCCACTGAAACAAAACATAAAAATAGATTGACAACAAAATATGCCTTTTATAGGGACATCATCTATAATACCAAAAAATTCTGTCGACTTGAAAAATGAGATTGAAACTCTTATAAGACGAGGTTAGTTGAAGAGATTTATAAGACACAGAAGATAAGACCAATTTAGAAGAGACTATGATAAAACCATAAAACACTTACTCGGGGTAGACATGGAATGGCAAAGTAAAAAAGAAAAGATGCATGAAGAGAAGAATCGAATCAAGAAAAAGGTCGAGCTAACAATAGTAAGCCAATTATCAAGGTAATTAATGTTATCACAGAAGGTAACTCCACCTCAATAAAAAGAAAGTTTAACATTGGCATGGTAATGATAGTAGGCACCTTGGTCAAAAAAGAAAAATAGTATATAGAGATAAGCCGATCCCATTTAGCTCTAAAGATCTAGAGGAATTTAACACTCATATGATGATGCCATAGTGATCACAGCTTTGGTGTACAACTATATAGTCAAAAGAATCTTATTTGATAATGAGAGTTTGATCGACGTTATGTACTACGATTATTTGAAGAAAACAAGGATTAACGAAGATTAGTTGAAACTGATCACCACCATATTAGTGGGATTTGGGAATGAGTATGTGCCTGTAAGAGGAATTATCAAGCTTTGGATCTCCTTAGGGATTAAACCGAAAATAATTACCTCAGTTTTAGAATTCATGGTAGTGAATGTCTTATTTGCCTATAACATGATATTAGGTCGACCCAGCTAGTCTGTTATGTGACTTATAGGCTCAGTTTCCCATTTGAAAGTGAAATTCCTAACACCCGAAGGGATTAAAAAAGTTTAAAGAAATTAGTCCATGACACTACAATGTTATATCACAACAATGATGGGTAAGATTGGAAAACAAACAAGCAACTCAATTGATATCAAGGTCGAAAGCAAAGAAAAATCAACACAAAGAATTATAAGTAGGAAACCATCAAAAAAAGCACAAAACGTAAGATCGACCTGAGAGAAGTGCGTTCTTAAGCCGCTCTAAGATCTCAAGCTCTGAAAAACTTTAATTTTGTTTTATTTCTTGAATTTTTTAAGACAACATTAGAATAACTGAGCTCCTAAGTTAGTGCAAACAATTTGATGTTACTTGGGCCAAGCAACACACCGACCAAAATATATTTCACTTTAAAGTTTAACAAGTTCTTTAATATACTAATCATCACGTTAAAATCTATTTTTGCAAGAAATGATCCCAGTCTAATTGAACAAAAAAAGATAATTGATTAAAGACTAGACTCAAATGTAAACTGACCCGAGCTAATAAGAACCTCATGACCATTCTTTTTTAGAACAACATTCATAAAAAATACATGCAGATCGGAGCCAAGCTCTAACATAAAGACCAACTGATTCAACTCATAAACGGTAATATCAACCTATTTGCTTGGACATCGTCTGATAAGCCCAAAACTGACCTATTTGCTTGGACACCATCCTATATACTCAGAATTGATATTGAAGTGATGGACCACAGACTACACATTAATCCCGAGTTAAAACTAGTTCAACAAAAGAAAAAAACTTTTACATTCGAATTACAATAGGCCATTGATGAAAAAATTGACAAATTATTGCCAACTAACTTTATCAGAGAGGTCTACTACCCTTAGTGGATGCCAATGTAGTCATGGTCAAAAAGCATAACAAAAAATAGAGAATGTGTGTGGACTTTATCGACCTGAATAAAACTTGTCCGAAAGATAGCCTTCTCATCCCTAACATAAATTGGCTAATAGATGATAGTGTCGAGCATGGCATCTTCAGCTTCATGGATGCCTATTTTAACTATAATCATATCAAAATATTGAAAGAGAGTGATGATAAGATGACTTTTATTACTGAAAAATTTTTTACTGTTACAAAATCATGTATTTCAGATTGAAGAATGACGGCTTACTGAAGATTGGTGAACAAGGTGTTCAAAAATCAAATCGACTATAATATGGAGGTATATGTAGACGACATAATAGTCCAAAATAAGAGTTTGATCGAGTATCTGAAGGACCTCAAAGAAATCTTCAACATTTTAAAAAAGTATAATATGAGACTTAACTCAAGCAAATATGCTTTTGAGGTTACATCAGGTAAGTTCTTTGATTACATGATCAACTAAAGAGGGATAAAAGTGAATTTAAAAAAGGTTCAAGTGATCCTAGAAATGAAAGCACCGATCTTGGTAAATAAAGTATAAATGTTAATAGATAAAATAGTCATGCTCAGCCAATTCATATTCAACTCGACAGAACAATGTTTACCATTCTTTAAAATTCTTAGAAATGTCTCTGACTTCAAGTGGCCTCCCTAATACTAAAAGCTTTTGATGAACTTAAAGAGTTTTTATCCTCCTTGCCTATCCTGTCTAAATTAAAGACTGGTAAAATCATATATTTATACTTAACCAGCACAGATTAAGCTGCCAGCATGGTCTTAATCAAAGAATAAAAAAAGAAACAATGATTGATCTATTTTATAAGCAAAGTATTGATAGGCCCTGGAGTTAACTATAATGGTATAAAAAAATTGGCCAATGCC